GGTGGCGGGTGGATGGATGGATGGATGGATGGGTGGTGGGTGGATGGATGGATGGATGGGTGGGTGAGTGGATGGATGGGTGGGTGAGTGGATGGGTAGATGGATGGGTGGGTGAGTGGATGGATGGATGGGGGATGGATGATGGGGGATAGATGGATGGATGGATGGATGGATGGATGGGTGGGTGGGTGGATGGATGGATGGATGGAAGGATGGATGGATGGGTGGATGGATGGGTGGATGGGAAGATGGGTGGATGGATGGACGGGTGGGTTGGTGGACGGATGGATGGGTAGTTGGATGGACTGGGTGGGTGAGTGGATGGATGGATGGATGGATGGATGGATGGATGGATGGACGGATGGGTTAGTGGATGGATGGATGGATGGATGGGTGGATGGATGGATGGATGGATGGATGGGTGGGTGAGTGGATGGATGGGTGGGTGGGTGAGTGGGTAAGTGGTGGGTGGAAACAGGCTGAATGGCTACGTGGCTGGATTGGCAGGTGGGTGGCGGAATGGGTTGGTAACTGGGAGGTTGAGCAGATAAACAGATAGAAAAGTGGACAAATGGCCAACAACAGCAAACCCAGTGGCTGATGAGGGCCTGGTCAGTGGAGGGAGCAGCAGCACAGGCACTGAGTGTGTGGTTGCAAGGGTACATAGGAGCTAAGCATGCAGGCATGCTCACCAGGTCATTCCCACTGGCAATGGACAGAGAGAGTGGGGAGTGACCGCTCCACAGCATGTTGGGATTTGCTCTGTGGGAGAGAAGGAGCTGGACTACGTCCCTGGCACACTGTGGGGAGAAAGGTAGACCAGGTGAAGTAGGAGCACTCTGGAGGAGCCCTACATAGACACCAATAACCCAGAGTGCCACAAAGCCAAGCATCATTCAGCTGTCCACCCCTCATGCCAGCACCACCTGAGCAGACACTCCAAACAGGGACCCAGAGGCAGGGGAGACGGGGCCCCTCAAACACATCCAAAGAGTCCGCATTTCCGGGTAGAAAACAGGAAGGGCACTGATGGATAAAACTGGATGGAAATGGGTTTTCAAAGGACAGAAGACAGCGAGGGTCACATGACCACACTGAAGGCCCTGACCCTTGGCGGGGTGCCTGAGGGATGTTCCTTTCCCTGGGCCTACATGTAAACCTCTTTCCACAAGACTGTCCGTGGTCTGATCTACAGACCCTCTGTCCCCCACCGCAGTGTGGGGCCGTCTCTCCAGCTGCCCCACTGGACTCTGTTGATACCACACTCTCAGGCTACAGCAAAAGATGGGGACCAGTCTCTCTCCCCTGCTCCTTTCGTGGAGCCTCAGTGACTAGGCCAATGTGATGCCAGAAGTCTGCTGAGGGGCTCTTGGGAAAGCTTCTCCATGTTCCTCTGCCTACTGGAATGTAGGTGTGATGGCTGACTGCTGCAGCCATACCGTCACCACTGATCTCCCCTTGATGTAATTTTAGTGTCTTCTATTTTCCCAAAACATTTCTAAATCTGAAATCTGTACACAAGCGGAAAGTGAGTGTTCAAGCTCTCACCTACTGACCCAGGCCTTGGTTAGCCTGACTTCTTAGAGCCTCCCTGTCCCTGTTCTTAACAGTTCACAGCACCCCTCTAGTGGTTCTGGTCAGGCCAGTGAGACTCTGGGTCCACTCCTTCTCCTCTGTCCTCTGAGGGGGTTCTGACATGATGGGCCAGTCGCTACAGTCCACTGTCTGCCCAACCCAGCACCACACTGTGAGCCTCTGCTTGTACCCTGGGAACTCCCCCACAGCCTCACACTTGAGGACTTCCACCCTGAGCAGACATCCTGCTCTGTCCTGAGCCAGGGTCATTATATGATCTCATAGGGGTGAACTGAGGCTCCATTTCCTCTGTGCTCTGTGACCATTTGGAACAGGCTTAGCAGGTCCAAGCCTCCCAATTCATCCACCTGTGCATTCAGCCTTCTCTGAGCAGTTCCCACACCAGCCTTCTGAGAATAAATCCCAAGGCAGATGGGAGCCAGTGACTGCAGGACCAGGGGACACAGGCAGCCAAAGTGTGGGGATGACCGAGGGGGTTGGGAGCCCCTAGATCCCAAGCACGTCTGACCAAGTACAAAACTGATTTCACATGGCAGTCTGGGCCCAGAAAGCTGTGTGTCCACATGTGGTCCATAGTTCTTCAGTGCATGCGTGCACATGAGCCTCTGAAGTGGTCTACTCCAAAATGAGGTATTCCAAAACCACTAGGGAAACTTCTGGGTCCCCAGCCTGGACACAGCAGCCAGGACTCACAGTGAGGGGCCAGCAAGGCAGGGGTGCCCACTCCCACCAGAGTCACATTCTCCTGCCACATACATGCCACAGAGACACACAGGTGCCCAGTGCAGCACCCACATACATATACACACATGATGTACACTCCTGACTTACAGGGGCAAGCTTACAGATAGATACGCATGCATCTCCAGTGGCAGCCCTAAGGGTTTGGGGCCTCAGCCGTCCCCCTTCCCCACAGCCACACTCGGCCCCAGCAGCCCAGGCAACCCAGCAGGCCCAGGGCCCCAGCAGCCCAGCCAACCCAGCAGGCCCTGTGGCCCACCTTCTTGTTATCCTCTCGTTCACAGGCCACATGCAGAGCCGTCCTTCCACCCTCCTCGGGGAGGTATATGTACTTGGTATAGTAGCTGCTGGGTGGGCCCGGCTCATTGTTGAGCTTCAGGCTAGAAGGCGGCAGGTCAATCTGTGTGTAAATGCAAGACTTGAGACAGGCCATCCCCTAGCGCCCACCTGCCAATCAGAGCCAGCCACGAGTTCCTCACCACTGAGCCTGGATGCAGCAGCTTCTTACCCACGCTAGAGCTCTAGGGATTCTTCCTACAGAGCTCAGGACACGCCTGGCCGCCAAAGTCCTCCCTGAGGCCACTCTGACTCTCAGAACATCCTCCCAAGTGCTGGCATGCTAGGAAGGCATTCTACCAACCAACTAAGCCCATCCTCAGCTATTTTTATTTGTTTGTTTGTTTGTTTATGTTTATTTTAAACAGACTCTCACTATATAGCCCTAGCTGGATGAGAACTTGATATGTAGACCAAGCTGCCCTTGAGCTCACAGAGCTCTGCCTGCCTCTTCCTCCCAAATACTCGCATTAAAGGTGTGTGCTACCATGCCCAGCTATAGCTCCAGCCCTTAATTATTTTTGTCCTTGAGTCTCACAAGTGTGCCAGCCATGCCTGCTGTGCTTCCTCCTGTGGCCAGTGGTAAATACCTGATCAACCCGGCCTCCTGCCCACGCCAGGAGGGGCCCTGGCCAACTCAGCCAAGCCAAGGAACACAGTGAACAGAGTATGCAGGTGTGTCCCCTCTCCCCCCACCACCACAGGTGCAGCTGCAGCTGCTGGTCCAGAGAGAATCACACCTTGCCAGCTTTGTACACATCATCCTGGTCGGCTGCCCTGGCGTCCACATCGGTGACTGCGTGAAGGAGCAGCTCTGTGATCCTGACGCCCTCCTCCCCGGGAAGGGAGGCTGCAATGTGAAGCGGGGTTAGGGACCGCAGCTGCAGAGGAAGTGCAGTGGGGGCCAGTGAGGGCCAGGCTGGTGTCTGAGGCCAGGGACCTCGCTGCCTGGATGGGTGAGAGGATCCACACCTCACCACAGTCATCTCAGGTTACAAGAGCACCATCTCTTTCTCACCAACCCCCACGGTGCAGGACCAGGAGGCCCACAGGCAGAGGTAGAATGGCCTGGAAACTCTCAATCTGCCACCCACAGGTGTCCAGGGCCCCACGTGTGAAAGCTGGGCCTGAACCAGCTTGACTTAAAGCCATATGTCTGACACCTCCTTCTAGGAAAAGTACCTTTCTGTCCCTGCCTGTCTGGGGTCACATGTCACCACCCTGATAGCCACTTAGCTCCTGACCAGCCTTCTAACTCACCCTCAGCAGCAACCCTCTGCCCATTAATCCCTGAGGCCAGCAGCTCAGAGATGGTCACAGAGAACCCAGCCCTCAGAGTGAATACCATCAAGGAAGAGTGTGACCAGAGCATGTAGTTGGCCACAGTGAAGTGGACACAACACACCTGCCCCCAGCCCAGTCCCCTCAAGTATGATCCTGCTCAAACAAGAAGGTGTCCCAGGAGAAAAGCACCTGGAGACCCGCCCCCCCGAATGCTGGATGAAGAAAGAGCCCACAGAGGGGGATGTGGCAGGGAAATAAGCAAAGAGCCACACCATGTGCCCTGCTGGGAAGGTGGAGAGGTAGCACTGGCTTGGCACGGTGCCAGGTCTGATGCAGCCTCCCATAGCTGCTGACCCAGGCATGGAGTAGGCACAGGCAGAGAGGAGCCCTGCCTCACCACACAGCCAACACCCACAGCTGAGACCAGCAGCAGCATGCAGCCAACAACCACCTAACACACCAGAGGTTAAGGGCCATCGATGGTGGTGCACACAAGTGAACAGTGAGTGCAGCAATGCCTGTGGTTTCACACCGTATGGCTTGCATCATCAGAAAGGCCAGGGGGCATCACATCCATGCCAAGTGCAGTTCTCAAACTTCTCAAACCTAGCCATAGCAAAAACAACAATTAAGGCAAATGGCAGATGGACACAGCTGAAGAGTAAATCAGGAGATGGGGCCAGGGAGCCGCCCAAAAGTGACAGTACAAAACCCAGAAACTAGCCAGATGTGGTACAGGAGACAGAGGCAGGCACATCTCTGTGAGTTCAAGGCCAGCCTAGTCTACATAGTGAGTTCCAGGCGAGCTAGGGCTACAAGGAGACCCTGTCTCCCCCCACCCAAAAAAACAAAAAAAAAAAATATCCAGAAACTATGCCTCCCCACCAGTACCAATTAAGGAAACATAAGAGAGTCATTGGAGAACCCAGGACAGCCAAGAGGATCATGGAAGGAAGTGTTCACGAATGAGCCATGGCAAGTCCCACGCTCCCAAACAGGAAGACCAGCTTCAGAGAGAAGCTGGGATCTCTAACAGTCAGACCACCTCACATTAGATGACAGCAGAACACGCCTCCCCAGTCCTCAAAAAGGGCTGGGATGTGGCTCTTGTTGGTGGACTGCCTGTCTAGCATGCACGAAGCCCTGGGCTCCATCCCCAGCACTATGTAAACTGGGCATCCTGGTGTGTGCCTGTAGTCCCAGGACTGAGGAAGTGGAAGCAGGAGAGTCAAAATTCAGTCATCCTCAACTCCACAGAGAATTCAAACCCTGTCTCCAGACAAAAAGAAGGTCTCCAAAGACAATTCTGAACCCAGAATGCTGCACCCAGTTGCCCTGTTACTTAGCATAAATGACAGCAACAGCGTTCCTAGCAACATGAGGACTCTATTTTGCTGCACAAGCTCTGCTGAAGGACTAAATCAGGACATGCTGAGCACACAGGAATCCATGAGGGACTTACACGGAGCAAAATTCAATGCCCAGCAAAATCCCTAAAACATATTGTCAGATCCAGACAGGGTTATGCTGGCAGCCGACATGCTGGAAATGCAGCGGCGTGGAGCAGAGGTGGCAGAGGGCAGGGACCAAGGCTCCCAGCCTCACTTTGAGAGCGTTCTCTCATGTGCGTTGTTCTCTGCCCACATGCAGTAAGGACATTCTATCCCCAGATGCCCAACCCCACCTCACTCCAGGTGCCCTCCTTAGGAAAATGAGGAAAATGAGCAAAGATACACTCTGCTCACACTGCTGATATCAACATTCATATTCAGCAGTGTTTGAAATCCCGGCCAGGCTACATAACACTGTGTGCCGCACAGTGAAGCAATCTCCATACCCCCAAATGGGTCGTGTTTGGGCATTCCACAGAGTTGAAAATGGGAGTGTCCCCCAGAGACCCAGGTGTTAAAGGCTTGGTCCCCACTGCTAGGAGGTGTTGGCACCTTAGAGGGATGGGACCTAGTGGCAAGTCTGAGGCCATGTGGGGCATGTCCTGGAAGGGGATAGCAAAACCCCAGCCCACCCTCTTTCCTTCTTGCATCTGGCTCAGGATGTGAGCACTTTGCTCCCCATGTTCCTACCATGACAACAGGCTCAAAGCATTGAGGCTGTCCAGTTCTGCAGTGCAATCTCCAAACCCATGAACTCAATAAGCCTTTTTACGTTACAAATTGACTGCCTTGGGGATGTTGTTATAATACCTGAAGTGAGCTGGATGTGGTGGCACATGCCTTTAAACCCAGCACTCAGGAGACAGAGGCAGGCAGATCTCTGTGAAACTGAGGTCATCCTGGTCTACATAATGAGTTCCAGGTCAGCTGGGGGTACAGGAGACCCTGTCTCAAAAGAACAAAAATTACCTGAGGTGACTAACACAGTGGATACATGTTAAACCTTACCACCAACATAAGGAATGCAAAACTGAACCGATGAGCTGTCACTTTCCACCCAGGAGAGCACTGGCTATATGTTGAGGGGATGGGAAACGGTGGGCTCCTGCCATGCTAGGGCCTGGAAAGGGAATAAAATCTTATGAGGCCCAACTGCAGCCACACGGTGAGCAAGACCATCATGGGGAGCTTAGTCTCTTAGTAGTGGTTGCACAGTGGCACAGAAATCAGTTTATTCACAGCACTTCATCCCAGCCCAGATGCAAAGAGCTGAGCATGGTGGTGCACACTGATAATCCCAGCACTGGGGAGGTGGAGACAGATGATCAGGAGTCCAAGATCATCCTCAAATATGAAGCTAGACTAGGCTACACAAGACCCTGCCCTCCAAAAAAAAATCAAAGATTGAAGTTACTGTTTTACTATAACCTCCTCAACTAGGTGTGGTGCTACATGACTATGATCCCAGCTACTTGGGAGACTGAGGCAGGAAGATCACAAGTTCAAGGCCAGTTTCTACTCTACAGCCAGTTCAAGGCCAGCTTGGGCTACATGAGACTCTGTCTCAACAATAACAAAAAATAATTTAAAGAAATAAGGTGCAGAACAGTATGTGTAGCATGAAGCCATCCAGGGAGGAGGCAGGCACCCAGAGCCTCACTAGGCCCCAGGCACCTCACTGTAGGCCTGTGGGGTTTCAAGTTTGGAGCAAACTAATCTAACCACTTGAACTAACATGAAGAGGCTTTTAACTTTTACTTCTCCAACTGTATGTGACTGTTCATGCTCTAAGACACTGATATGGTTGAGCTACAATGAGGTGATATTCCTCACCCTGTCTTATAGGGCAGTCCAACAACGGGAGTCAGGTCAGACAGGACTGTGAAAAAAGCCCAGCCTCATTCTGACCTTCTCTCTAAGGCACAATGGTTGGGTGACTTCCAGGGCCTTGGGGAGTTGAGGTGGCCTGGGTTCTGTGCCTGAGAAAGGGGCTTCCAGAGCTGTGGGGGGGGGGAGGTGTTACCTGGAAGTGTCCTCTGACCACCATGCTGGCAAGCTATAATCACACCTCCTTCCCACACGTAGAAAGGAGTCAAGGGGGGAGTTTGTTACCCCTCCCACCCAATCAGTCCACCTTAGCTGCATTGGGGGTGGCGGTAAGGATATATAAGCCAAGAATGCTATGAGGTACCTCTTGCCATTCTGTGCGGCTGTTGGGAAGTTACAGGATATATGTTTGAGTGTGGACTTTCCAGTGCAGCTGTAAATGGGGGGCACCCACTCTTCCGTAAGTAAACCCCCACCCTATGCTCTGTTAGCAAGCCCAATAAATTCGTCAGGATTTTCCAAATGGCAGTTTTGGAGAATCTTGCCTCGGGTTGTCGTAAGGACAGTGGGAGGAGGGAACTGGACGCCACATGCACCTCCCGGCAGTGATTTTTAGTAAAGGAGGGCAGCGAAGACCAGGCAGGGCTGGAGAGTGTCTACTGCTCAGGTGGCCTGGGTATAAATGAGGTTTAAACAAGCTGAACCGCCTAAAGTCAGGAGTCCACCAGGAAGCTCAATGACAGCTTCCAGTATATTTTCTCCAAGAATCAAGCCTGCACTCAGGTTCATGTATTCAAGGGCAAAGTGTCCTTCAAACAAGTTTCCTGAGGGGGGCCTGGCTCAGAATGGGAAGAAGCCTGGCAGCACTGGCCAGGAGACGTAGAGGGGCTGGAGATGGCTCAGCAGCTAAAAGCACTTGGTGCTCTCTAGCCGGCCGTGGTGGCGCACACCTTTAATCCCAGCACTCGGGAGGCAGAGGCAGGCAGATCTCTGTGAGTTCATGGCTAGGCTGGTCTACAAAGGGAGTTCCAGGCCAGCTGGGGGTATAGAGAGACCCTGTCTCCAAAAAAAAACAAAAAAAAAAAAGGGTCTTGGTGCTCTCTCAAAAAGAGTTCAGTTCCCAGCACCCACAGCAGGAGGCTTACAGCCACCTGTAACTCCAGCTCCATGGGATCCAACGATGTCTTCTGGCCTCTCTAGTCACCTGTATGCATACGGGGTACACACCACTACACACATGCGAGTGTATACACATACACACACACACAAATTTTTTTTTTTTTTTTTACTTTTAGATACATGTGCAGGAAATTGAGGTTTGTTTTTTGCTGGTTGGATTTGCTGGGCTAGAAGGTTTCAAGCCCAAATATTTTGCTTTGCTGTCTCTCCATGAAGCTAACACCCCTGGTGAAAGAAGATGGATTGGATCTGACCCTCCTCTCCCCTCCATTCAGCAAGTTCTTAATCCTACGGCTTCTTCAAACAGAGGGAAGGAAGGAAATATGTGAGCAAACTGCACACGTGACAGAGCGCTGAGAGACATCGCTTCTACATGGTACCTGCCGACACCTGAGACTGCAGCAGCGAGCCTCCTTCCTCCAACACTGGCACCAACACCTCACACACCAGGCATTTTCTGGCAGGGTGAATCAGCTCCACTGACAGCCCTGAGGAGCTACAGGCTTGAGTGAAGACGGATCTAGGGGTCTGTACATATCCCACGCCCACATCACTGGAGAGGCCCGCTGACTGTGGGCGCCTACCTGTGGTGGATACTGGATGTCAGTTCGGGCCCCGCTGTCCAACAACAGCCTCACCCCATCCACATCCCCAGCCTTCACAGCAAAGAACAGGGCCTGCATGGGCACGCTGCACAGGTTGGGGTCAGCACCACGACGCAGCAGCAACTTGATGGTCAACCAGCGGTTTCTGCGTCTGTAGGAACCAGCAGCATGAGGTCATGGGATGGAGGGAAGGTTCAGGGTGGTTGCCACACCTGGGTCCAGGCTAGGATTCCCTGCATAGGGCAGGGCAGATGTTCCCTGGGTGGAGGACACTCCACAAGGACTGCTGACAACATAAACACCCCGAGCCCCTACATCCAGTCTTTCCTGAAAACACCCAAGATCAGTACTTCCAAAGCCAACTCCAGCTGTGTCCCTGCAGGGCTTGAGCCCAGCGTGAGTCACTTAACCTTGCTGGGGTCCCCTCTGAGATGGCAGGCCAGCCCCTCCTGGGGGAGATGCCAGACAGTGAGGTTTAACACTGACTCCCATGGTGGCAAGAGGTCCAGTGCACCACACACACCACACACTGCCCAAATGTTGAGAATGTACCTCTTCCATGGTGCCTTTGGCAGGCTTCCTGGGAGTGGGTGCCCTGTCTCACAGATGCCCAGACAACAGAACACCACCTCTACAAAAACCTCCTCATGGTGGTGCAGGGCAATGATGGGCACCCACTGAGCACACAGACGCAGCCGTGGGAGCAACCTTCTGCCCCGGCCATAGAGTACCAGTGACTTACTCAGCCATAGACTGTGCCATTTTCCGCATGGTCCCTTTGTCTGCAGAGGAGGCTTTCAGTGAGCTGTAGGCTTGGGCACTCTTCTCCAAGATGTCCTTGGAGATATGGATGGAGTAGTTGTGCAAACACATGGTGGACTCAAAGTTTGTCTCCATGCTGTACAGGGTGCTGGCATCCAGATTTTCTGCCACGTTCTCCGACTCTTTCTCAGGATTGCTACTGGCACCCTTTCCTGAGATGTCCTGCCTGTGAGAGGTGCTCCTCCCAATGGCAGACTCCCGGGACTTCACAGTGCTTGGGGCTAGGCCATCACCCAGGCTGCTTGGGTAGCACATCGGCAACATATGCCCCTCACTGCCTGGCATAGGAATAGTCACCCCAAAGAGATGGTCCATGACTGGCTCCCCAGACAATGAAATTTTGGAGGTGACTGGGAATTTGGGAGGTTCCTGTAGCAAGCACCAAAAAGAGCCTCATTAGAGGAAGGAACTGAAGTGTCCTGCTCCACAGTGGCCCAGAGTGGTGGCCTGGGGACTCTTTCACAGCCCACACACGTTAGTAGGGGCAGGGACACCTCTGAAGCCACACCCAAAACTGGAGGGTGAACAGCCACTGCATAAGACTCAGAGCACCACCTGTGGCTCCTGAGCCCACAAAACATGGCCTGTCTAGACCTAAGCCATGCTGTACACACCAAGGATGACCTACTGGTAAGACATCTCACTTGCACACTTCATACCAATTACACACTGAGTATTGTATTGTATTAGCTTTATAGTATTGTGTGTTGGCTGCATGGGATGCTTTATGCAAAATAAAATACATCATTAAAATTAATTTCACCTGTTTTACTTAATGCAGTTACTCAAAAAATTCTAATTATACACATAGCTCACATTTCAGCTTAAATCATGTTTCTGCCAAGTGGCACTACGCCCCGCCCCCCATCTTCCGTTAACAGCCACGGTTCTCAAAGAACAGCACCTGGGCCAGTGGTTTCATCACCAGAAACTTGTTGGAAATGCAGGTTCTCTGGCCCTGCCATGGGTACACTGCCATGGATGCCACCTTTTCCAGCGTGCTATGAAAGGGACAGGTCTCAGGACCCCAAACTGGTATGCATGAGGCTCATAGGGAGCACATTTCCATTGGTACCTGTGACCTGGAGCTCAGGACGCCTGAGGGAGTTCCCAGGCTCTGCCCTTCTGACCCTTCCCCACTGGCCTTGTCTTACCGTTTACCATTTTTGAGACTGGTTCACATTGCAGGGAGGTGGCTGTAGATGCTCAGGTAGAGACAAGGGATGGGTGGTAGATGGTGGGGGTGTGGTGGCCAACAGGGACTTACCTGGGGTATGGTCCTCTCAGCAACATTGGGTTGGAAGGATTTGCTGGGGTAGTAATTAAGGAAGCACATGATGAGCGGTGTAAGGCCCTCGTCAGAGCACTTGTTCACGTCAGCCCCAAAATCCAGGAGGAGGTTGACAATGTCATGGTGAGAATGCACCTAGAGAGAGACAAGCCAGACTCATGACGATAGTGGCTGGCCCTCTGTAGGGCATGAGGAGGACTGCCTGATGCCCAAGCTGGCCTTTATAAGGCTGCACTGTGGCAGGACACACGGCACTCATGCTTGGCCTTGGTGAGGAGACTGTCAAGTGTGTGGAGGAGTGGGTGGGACATGCCCAGCCCTCTTCCATTTGGCCTTGCATGTCACACTTGGGTGAATGGGTTTGTGCTGACCACCAAGGAGCAGGTGCAGACCCGTCAGCACTCGTCAGACTCCCACCATGAGAGTAAGCTGCAAGAGAGCTGGGCAGCCAGGGTTGCTGTGGCAGCCTCCAGGTGGGGGAGGGACTTACAGCAGCTGCAGCAAGCACCGTGTAGCCCTTTGAGTCAGCCACGTCAGCATAGGCAAGGTTGTCCCTCAGGATTCCATAAACACAGTCGTAGTCTCCTTCCTCAGCCTTCAGGATCATCTCCTTGGAAAGCTGCTCCTTGGGGCCACTGGGCCCAAAGCTGCTTCGGTTCCCCTCCAGAATGGCTGGTATGTTCCATCTGGTGTGAGCCCTTTTGTTCCTGGTAACACAGCAGGCATCAGTGGCAACAGACCAGGTTCTGGTTCACCCAACACCTTGTGCAAGAAAAAGCCCAAGGGGAGCCACCTCCCTCCAGCCCTCACTCTCCTCTCACCTCAGTGGTCCATATGACCTGGGGCCCTCTACTCCCTCAGCAGTTCACTCCTTCAGCACCCTGAGCCCTGAGCTGCGCTGCCAGCCAGTCAACAATCAGTACAGAGCACCCAGAGAAGGAGACCTGTTTGCTCAGAGGTGAAGTGCTCAGGTTAAGTGCTGACCCAGCAAGGGGTCATGTCTGATTCCTCTGGATCACTCTGAGTCTGTTGGGAAACATACTCTCAACAGCAGGGCCATGGTGGGTAGAAGGTTGGCATGCACATTCTTCCACTGCTGGGACTGAGCACCTACATCCTAACTTTTGTTCACTTGCTTTTTTGTCTGAATAAAGAATATGTATGTCCCACGTGCCAGTCACCACACAACGTTGAAGTTTCCTGTGTGCACAATTTTTCACAACTAAGGGCCCATGAATTTTATGTTCCCAACAGCTATCAATGATTATGAGCTCATGTTTTCAAATAGATGGGTGGTTGAGCGGATAGATGGATGGATGGATGGATGGATGGATGGATGGATGGATGGATTGGTGGGCAGATAGATAGGTGGGTTTGTGGGTTGGTGGATAGATGGATGGGTGGGTGTATGGGTAGTTGGATAGATAGCTGCAAGGGTAGATGCATAGATGAATGGACGGAGAGATGATGAGTGGCTGCTTGGGCAGATGGATGGATGGAGCGATGATGGGTGGGTGAGTGGATAGATGGATGATGGAATGGATAAATGGGTGGGTGGGTAGGTAGATAGATGGAAGGATGGGTGCACAGATGAATGGATGTATGGATGAATGGAGTGAGTGGGTGGAAAGTAGCCACTGTGCTCATAAAATGCACTCTAAACTGTTCGGTGATAATCTGAGGGTGATGTTTAAGGATGTGAGAGGAGAGAAAGGTTCTTGAGCACTTTAACTTTGAATGGCTAAGTAGTTTTCCTCAAGTGAGTGCTGACTTTCCTGGGGCTGTGTGTATGGATGGGATCTCCAGAGACCATAGAACAGCCATGTTCTGATGGCTGTCCTTAGAGAGGTCAAAAGTCTAATCAGTTTGCCAGTCCCACTCCTGCCCCGCATCCTACCCTTGACTCTCTGCCAGACCCCTCATTAACAAAGAATAATACTAACAACCCCTTCTGTCATGTTGGTTTGTGCAGGGGCTTGACCTACAGAGCCTCTAATGGCAGGTGGGAACCTGGGCTCAGGGTGCATGAGCTCTGACCAACAGAACAGGGACTGCACACAGGTCCAATATGCCAAGACTTGCCCTCAGGTCTCTGCTCAGGGTTTATCCTGAGTCACATTCCCTTCAGGGTTCCACACCAGTTCTGGGACTACCATGGCTGCCCACTCATCACACCACTCCCAGCCACATCTCTCCTAGAAAGTATGCAAGTGGGACCCTAGAGTCCTGTTCCCCTTCATGGACATAGATGCCTCACAACTCTGCCTGGCTCCCTGCACTCAGGGCATCCATCTGGCCTAACAGCACAGTGGGAACTGTTGGAATCACTGAAGCATGAGCTTCACATTCACGTTCATCTGATGAGCAATGCTGAGTGGTTCCCAGGCCCTTAGCAGCGGCCCAGCGCTAGAGGACATCAGACTCTGCCAGAGAGGGGACGGGATGGAGAAAGGGGCAGACTGATCACCTGAACTTATAAGTTTGCTTCTGGATTTTGATCAACAGAGGAGTCTCATTTGTTATGAACCAGGGTTCTCCATCCTCAATGAATGGGGGGATCTCATTCATGAAGATGCGGGCATCCAGCTCTTTGCGCAGGGAGCCTGTCATGGGGAGGTGGCTGTTGTTAGTCGAGTAAATGTGCATCTCCGGAGGCAGTGTTAGGTCATCGTTCAGGAGAAACTTCTTATAATCATAGGAGAAGGGGTCCTGCTCCTCAGGTGGGCCCCATTCCACCTTCTCCTCATCTGAGAGGCTGATTCTCTCCCGAGAGTCCGTGAGGAAGGCTGAGAACTCTGGGTAGTTCAGCAGGGAGAAGCTTTTGGGAGCCTCCGTCCCCAGCTTAAGCAGGTGCTCACGGAACCATAGCCCGACATCCTGACTGCCATCAGAGTAAGTCTCAATGCCCGGCCCGAACCGTTGGTCTGCTTTATACAATCCCTGAAAGGGAAACCCACAGGCCAAGACAGACACTCAGCTGTACTTTGCACTTAGTGGCCAGTTTCATAAAATCAACAGAAGAAAATGTATTCCTAAGAAACATACTCATTTACTCAACCTACACTGAGTTGTGAGGGGTGCCGGGCACTGGGGCCGAGCCGGACCAGCTCTCTCAGACAGCACACAGATACATGGAGAGGATGCTGCAGAATGCTGGAGGGCAAAGCAGCCTCCCTCGGGTGAGGACATGACCAGGGGCTGCAAGCTGAAGCCATGGAAAACATACACAGGTGGGTTCCTTCCCAAGAGACTCCTGAAACCGTCAAGTTAGCTGGGAGGTTGGCATTTTCACCAAGAGCCTCTGTGCTCACAGGGCAAGGGAGCTACTGCCCCTGTAAAATCACTCTAAGTGAACCTTCAAAGTTTGTTGTTTGTTTGTTTGTTTGTTTGTTTCAGACAAGACCCTCAGAGAAGCTTACCAGGTTGCTCATTATGATACCAAACTCCCCTCAGAGGGCATGGGTCTGCCATTTTCTGGACAGCTGGCATATGACCTGGAGCTGAGCAAGTGCGGAGACACACCCACCTCCAGTCTCCCATATAACCCCCCAACTTTGTTTGGGGAGAAACAGCCTTCAAGAGGCTCTCCCATGCACTCCTCACAAACCTCTCTTCATTCTAACCACCTGGTTGTGCTCATTGGCTCTGCGTTCACCAAGAGATGAACCCACTGGTCTGGTCACACTAACAGTGTAGGCCCAGCTCAGGCACCCCAGCAGACCAGAATAGGACGTGTTGGTGGAGGTGAAGACAACCCATCAGAGTGTAGACCAAGAAAGATAGAGGAGAAGGAGGACAAGGAGGAGGAAGAGGAGGAGGATGAAGAGGAGGAAGAGGAGGAGGATGAGGAAGAGGAGGAGGAGGAAGGGGAGGAGGATGAGGAAGAGGAAGAGGAGGAAGGGGAGGAGAAGAACGAGGAATAGGAGGAGGAGGAAGGGGAGGAGGAGGAAGAGGAGGAGGATGAAGAGGAGGAGGAAGAGGAGGAAGAGGAGGAGGAAGAGGAGGAGGAGGAAGAGGAGGAGGAAGAGGGCTGGTACTTGCTTCCCCAGACCCCAAGAGAGAACATAAGTTCTAGGCTTTCCAGAGCTTCCATCACCACCCCTTTGAATATGCAGAGAAGAAAATGTCTTGCACAAAAAAACAATGAATAGCTGTCCAGTGTGGGCACAGAGGACGTGCAGCTTACTGCCTATAGCGCCTGCAGCCTGACAGAAGTGGGTGATGAGCAGGTTAAGGGCAGTAAGGGTGGGTTGGGAGACAGGTTTCCAGAAGACCCTGCAAGGAGCTAAGGCAGTGAGGGGTTGGGGGAACCACGGGCAGAAGTGAGAGGTGAGATGGCCCAGGGGCAGGCACCAGGTAGTCTACAGGCCTTGTGGGCCTAGCAGGGATGTGGGGCATCCTCATCTGGAAAGTTGGAGAGATGGTCCCTTAGGTGAGGGCTGCAAGAGCAAGCGGCCCAGGGAAAAAAACTGGGGGCCCACCAAGACGAGGAGTCAGCATGCAGGAGGCCAGCCATGGAAGAGCAGCTGCCACTCTGCATGGCACCATGCGTGTGCTCATGACCCAGCAGCTCTATTCATAGGGCACATCCCAAGAAGATAATCCAAATGTCTGCAAAGTCACAACCACAGACGATTCTGCATAACAAAACAGGCCTGTACTCCTAGAACTCTAGAGGCACAGGCAGGATTGCAAATTCAAGGCCAAGCTGGGCTACAGAGTAAGTTCAAGGTTAGCCTGAGCTGTTTAGTGAGGCCCTCTCTCAAAACAAAAGCTAAAAAGACAGCTAGAGGTGTAGCTCATTGGCATAGTACTTGCCTAGCATACAGAAGTCCCTAGGGGTGGGTGGGTTTGTTTGATTTTTGGGTGGGTTGGTTGTTTTGAGACAGTATCTCACTACAGCCCTAGCTGACCTGGAACTCAATATATAGACAAGGCTAGCCTTAAAATCACAGAGGTCTGCCTGCCTCTGCCTCCTGAGTGCTGATATTAAAGGCTGTAACACTATGCCTGGGACAAGCTCCTAGGGTTTAATCCTTAGCACTGGGGGGAGGGGGGAACTAAGATAAAGCTAGTCTTCATTGATCTCCATTGAAGAATGATTAGGAAATGGAGTTGTCATTTTGAAAATTGTAAAGAAATGACTAAAGAGATGGCTTAGCGGTTCAAAGCACTGGCTGCTCTTTCAGAGGACCCACATTCAGTTCCCTGTACCCACATGGCAGCTAACAACCATCCATAACTCCAGTTCAAGTATCTGACACCCTCTTCTGGCTTCTATGGACATTGCACAAATGTGATGTACTTACATACATGCAGGCAAAACACTCATGCACATAAAATAAAAACATACATTCTTTCAAAAACCCTCAAGTTTAAAAAAAAAAGAGAGAGAGAAATGGAAGAGATTTGAGTGTGTATTTTGCCTTCTCTGTACAAACTACAACCAAATAGCTGGTGATGGAATTCAGTGTTTAATTCTGGCACATGGATGCAGGAGGGATAAGAGAACTAGGGTACCATCATTTTGCATCTCCGGGTGAGATCCAGGCTAGACAGTGATCATCAATACTCTCTGCAGAACAACAGAAACAGGGCGTGGTTGCCCTTGCATATAATTCCAGTACTCAGGGAGGCTGAGCCACAGACATGCATGTCCCAGTGTGGCTTCTAATGAAGATGTTAAGGCTAGACCATGGAGGAGCCACAGTCTTTTCGATATATGAAGGGTAACTGCTGGCACCCACATGGGAGGACCACAGAGACAGGCTTGTCCTGGGTTCCCACAAAAGACAAATGTTAACTCAAGGTGGACCACATACCTCAGTGTAAAAACGGAACCCAAAGCCATGGACTTGGAAGGAAGCATGGGTGAAAGTCTTAGTGGTCTTGTGCTATGACTTGCTTATTTATCTTTGTGTGTGTGTGTGTATGTGTGTGTGTGTGTGTATGTGTGTGTGTTGCTGGGGTAGAACTCGGGGTCTCAGGTATGCTAGACAAATGCTGTCCCACAGAGGTACAACCCTAGCCCCAGTCTTAGTAATCCTGGGTTAAGGAAAGATTGCTATTTTTTTAGTATTTATTATTTTTATTTTATGTGTATGAGTGTAATGCCTACATGTAGGTAGGTGCATCCATGTTGTGCAATGCCAGTGGAGATCAGAAGAGGGTGTCAGTTGTTAGCTGCCATGGGTGCTGGGAATCAAACCCGGGTCCTCTGCAAAAGCAGCCAGTTCACTTAACCACTGAGTCATCTCTCCCACCCACCGTTTTGGTTTTTTTTGAGACAGGGTCTCCCTGAGCCCCAAATGACCTGGAATTCAGGTTGGCCTCAGTCTCTGAGATCCACCTGTCTCTGCCTCCTGAGTGCTGGGATTAAAGGCATGTGCCACCACACCCAGCTCAAGATATGTGGGGTTTTCAAAAAAAAAAATTTTTTTTTGGTCTTTTTGAGACAGGGTCTCCCTGTAGCCCCAGCAGTCCTGGAACTCACTATGTAGACCAGGCTGGCCTTGAACTCACAGAGATCCACCTGCCTCTGCCTCCCAAGTGCTGGGATTAATGGTGTGTGCCACCACGCCTGGCCTTATTTATGATTTTTATTTTATGTGTATGAGTGTTATGCCTGCATGTAGGTAAGTGCACCCATGTCATGCAATGCCCACGGAGGACAGAAGAGGCTGTCGGATCCCCTGGAACTGGAGTTACGGACAGTTGTTAGCTGCCATGTGGGTGCTGGGATTCGAACCCAGGTCTTCTGCAAGAACAGTCGGTGTTCTTAACTGCTGAGGCATCTCTCTAGCCTCAAGATATGTTTTTTTAATCAATATAAAAATAGTAAATAACTCAAAAGGGGGAAATGGAATTAACATAATCTAAATTTTTTCTTTTTCAAATCAAAACCCTATTTTTGTAATGTGGGGGAGGGGAGTCCTTAAAAGATAAAAAGTGTCTGACCTTCAAACCAATAATCTGAAAACAAGATGTTGCTTCTAAGGGGGCTAAATTTAATTAAGAACTATTATATGAAATGCACAAAAAGTCAATAAACAATATTAAAAAAAATAAAAAGAATGCCCTCTCAATCCAAACGAAGGCCAGATGGAGACAGGGATTGCTGCACAGCAGGGACAGCACAGCACACATAAGGGAATCGATTTAACCCCAAATACACGTCTACTAACACCAAATGTGCCTGGTCAAAATCAGATGAGGAACCATTAGCCCTATATGTAATTTTAAATGTTCTAGTAGCCACAGTACAGAAAGTCAAAAGTCACGTGAAATTCAATTTTTTAAAAAGACATGGTACCACGTATCTTAGGCTGGCCTCAAACTATGTAGTTGAAGGTGATCTTGCATTTCCAATCCACCTGATCCTACCTCCTGGATTACAGGCATGCACTACCACATCTACTTTATGTGGAGCTGGGAAGGAACCCAGGGCTTTGTGTGTGCTAGGCAAGCAATCTGCCAAATGGGCTGAATCGTTTGCCCTAAGGTGGAATTCATTTCACTATAGTATTTCTATTTAGCTCAATCTTTCCAAAATATTGTTTTAAAATACACCTGATAAGAATAGGAGGTAGGAATTGGCTAGGCAGAGTAAAAAGACCCCAAAGAAAAGTAGCCAGTTTCTCAGCTAAAAGTCAAAATTTCCTTGGGCTCCTTGGCAACATACTCTGTTCCAAAGGCCAAAAATATCAAAAGTATTTGGGAGCTTGTATCTAATACTCAAAAGATTTTAGGATTACTTCTTCAGAGGGGGGAATGTTGGAGTGGCCAAAAGCCCCATAAAAATAAATAAATAAATCGAAAAAGAAAGAACCTGAAAGAGAAAAACAGCAGGAAACAGGTGTTACTAAGAGAGAAATGGATAAAAATGGGGTTATTTATAGGAGTGGAAAGGGAAGGTTATACAGGAACCTTGGGGAGAAAGG